TTTTCGAGGAAAGACGGGCAGCCATCTGCTTCCCGCGATTCAGATCCCGCCAGTGCTGAGGCACGGAGGAGAATGAGCTCATGGGGATCGCAGTTGGATCTGGCCGATGAGTCTGAAGAGGGGTTTCCCTCTTGCGATCATCGGCTGTGGACGAGAGTGAGCCGCTGGAGGATGATGTTATTTCATTAACATTGTCTGATCCAGGGGCCAGTGCTCTGCTGGGTTCGGCCCAGCAAAAGCAGGAAATGTCTGAGGAGGGCAAAGAAGCTGAGGCTGAGCCTTCCCAATCCTCCTGGAACGTCTCGGTTACGTATGTAACCCTCGTTCCCTGAAGGAGGGAACGGAGACGTCACGTCCCGTCGCCACAGCTCCTGTACCACCGCTGAGCGGCCGGGTCACCGGCTCGGCTCCTCAGCGAAAACCTGAATATGCGCTGCACCTGCTGCCTACTTATACTCACGCTGTGATCAGCAGCAGCTGGATGCAATAATCGCATGCCAATGTGCATTGGCTCGTTTAGTTTACACTCGAAGTAGATTGGTCCCTCTAAGCGAGATCCCAATTTCGTCGGTCCTCCGACGTGACGTCTCCTTCAGGGAACGAGGGTTACATACGTAACCGAGACGTTACATAAGTAACCTGAGACGTTTCACAGACAAGGCTTAAGCCTAGCCCCGGACTAAAATGTAATTCTCAGCTGTTTCAACTGAAAGAAAATTGCACTTTATCTTTAAAAATATCAGTGCCTTTGTTTTGTCTCAAGATGCACACCAGTAATGTTTTTTAAGGCATGTTAATGAAAATAACTTAAATGTCCTAATTGAACTATAGCCTAATCCTGGCTTAGTCTAAACCCTGTCTGTGAAACCAGGCCATTAGTTCTCAAACCTTTAATAGCACCAACATTAAACAGGACCGAAAGTTTTCTTCTAAAATCTTACTCTAGCATTAGTGAATGCAAGTTTGACTAAATTAATTAATTAATTAATAATAAAAAAAAAAAAAGAACTCCAAATGAACTTGCTGGTAAGTGCTGTTTGTCAATGTCCCAGAAGCTCTCCATCGGCAGTACACTTCAAATGTCACGAAGCTGCACACCATCTCTCCACAGTATGTGTGAACGGAAATGTTCCAAAGAGGCAGGAAAATCAGAAAAAAATACCTTGAGGAAAGAAAGAAAGAAAGAAAGAAAAAAAACAGAACAACAATTGTTATAAAACATATCCAGTCATTATAAATGGTTCAGTTGAGTGAAAGTAATAGACACAGTTGCTGTCCAAAGTTTATATTCACCTTGCAGTATCTGCAAAATGTTAATAATTTAAGCAGTAAGAGGGTAGAGAGGTAGAATCATTAAAAAATTGCAATTTCTGCTCTGATGAAGCAGTTTATTCTGCTGGGTGTATGTAAACGTTTGACCACATCTACATCACCTAAGAGGTGAATTACCTCAATCATCAGCGCAACATCATAGTAGAATGCTGCGAGATGTTCCTTCACATTTCCCCCACACACCAGAATTCCACTGACCACACCATCTTCACTGACACTGGGCTTTAAAAATAGATAACATTTTTGCAAACATTTATTATTCCTACTTTACAGGGAATAAAACATAACTTTATCAATTACCAAAAAATAGATAAATATCCCAAAATCCATGAAAATGAAGAAAGGTACCTTCAATTTTTTTTCTCAACTTGCCTTGCAAGCTTCTCTCACACATCCTCATGAAGGATGTTCCTGTATTTACCATGGCTGGCACAGCAAAGCTACTGTCCTCGTCCTTTGGTTTGTTACCTGTGAAATATATGATGATTAGAGGGGGATCTGTAAATGCACAGGTGGGAATATATTACTTGCAAATGGAAAAGATTCAAAGCATTTAAAATCCATAGGGATAGTGACTTAACAGCACTTTTAGCTTGTAATGTGTGATCAGGGTGAGCTAACTGGGCAACAGTTCATTTAAAAAACTTCTAATATTACCTCTTCAGTACTGGCCTGTGTTTCCACACTGTAACTTATTTCCAGTAACAAAACTGTCCTGATCCTGCAAAATGAATGAATAACTCCAGATAAGTACAAAACTATTACATATTACAAACACAAGCGGTAACGGAACATCTCGCTCTTCAAATGCAAAAAGAAAAAAAAAGAAAAAAACAACAGCATTATTTCTAGAGGTGGCTGATATATTGAATATTACTGGTGGTTATAATATCGATTATGTACATTAAATATTACAAGATCGGATCTTTGAATTTTGTTCAGTAGCGTTAAATTGAAATTTAAATCGTTTAGTTAAAATAAAATATTGTATTTTCAGCAGCCACATTTTTTGGTCCACACATGCGATCACATTCCGATATCAGAATGCAGTCATATATAGCCCTATTCGGACAGGACTAGTTTTCTAAACTACGTTTGAGTTTCGATTCTGTATGCGTGCATTGCGGCAGAATCGAGTCATTCGGGTTGATTACCATTAGTATTATTACAAATACCATGGTGAAGCTAAATGGCTAGTATAGCAAAACCATATTAATGTGTAGTTACTTTAGTTTAACTATTTTTTTATTATTTATTTATTTGTAGTAAACCCATGTTTAATTTTCATAAAGGTAATTAAAACATTATGTAATTGAGTGCAGAAATGAACGTGAGTAATCCTACCTGACGCTGATATTACAATAGCCAGTCTTAACAGTTTACATGATCTGGCTCTTGATTTTATTATTGTTATTTTTTTATTATTTCTTTGCCGGTGTCGTGCCGAAAATTGATCGTCTGCCGAAAACAGGTTGCCGTCCGCATCCGTCCGTTTTACACTTGCCAAAAAGTGATTACAGACTCTACTTATTGAGTGAACTGTTATTTCTGCCTCAAAATGACTTGATTTCATTCATGGTTGTTATATTTGATAGATTACAGCTCA